CACCCTGACTAGAGTGCCAGGGCATTATACCTCACAGCAACCTCAAGTTCTTGGGCTGAAGTCATCCTCTTGCCTCCGTTTTTTTTTTTTTTTTTTTGCAGGTTTTGGCCAGGGCTGGGTTTGATCCCACTACCTCCAGCATATGGGGCCGGTGCCTTACTCCTTTCAGCCACAGGAGCTGCCCATCTCAGTTTTTCTATTTTTAGTGGAGACAGAGTCTCGCTCCTGCTTAGGCTGGTCTTGGACTCCTGAGTTCAAGCAATCCACCCACCTGAGCCTCCCAGAGTGCTAGGATTATAGGTGTGAGCCACTGCACCTGGACTTCCCAGAATTCTAAATAATGACAGCCAACTTTCCTCAGGTACACGCATTAGCTAGACTCACTATCCTAAGCACTACGTGTATCATCTCAGTTGTCAGCAAACCACTCTATTTTGTAGATGAGCAAACATAGCGGCTAAACAACCTGTCCAGGGGCATGTCAGTGGTTAAGGGGGAAATTTTAAGAATTTTTCCAAGCTAATAATAATTCATAGATAATATGGAATCCATGACCATTGAAGGCTTCACTTCAAGCTCTAATAAAGAGGGCAGAAACCCAGCCTGTCATCTTTACTACTCTATCTTCAGCACTGGGGACAGTGCTGGGCACACAGATGCATGTACTGGAAGAACATAACTCCATGTTGAATAAGGACAGGAATGAGTTGGCTCATGCCACACAGCTCTGCAGCAGGCGCCTATGAAATGCTTTGCCCGCCCGCCCCCTTCACTAGGTTGTGACTCAGTCTAGGGTAGAGGTCTTTCTCATCTCGAATCTCTGTGTCTCTTGTATAGTCCTGGTCCCAGATAGGTGCTTAAAAATGAACAAAGCCTGGAAAGGTGTAAATGATGATTCCGAGTCCACTTCTTCATCAAAGAACAATTTCCCCAGTAGAACTAAAGTTCTCCCTCCCTACACAGAGCACAAAAGCTGTTATTCAGAAACTCCAAAGGCATACCTGGCAGTGTAATCAACAAACAGAATAGCATGCAGCACTTTTCGTGTGCTCTACACACGTGCTGGTTGTTGCTCTAAGGCAGTGTTGTTCAACATTTTTTAAAATCTCACAGCACACTTGAACCTATGGTTAAATTTTTTAGACCTTGAGGTTTTTAGACCTTGCTTTTTTTTCGAACTTGAGGTTGCTATGAGGTATAATGCCATGGCACACTTAAATTTTGTTGATAAAAAAAAAAGTGAAAAAAAGAATATACTTATTATGCTTTGAATTTCTTTCATAAATAACTTAATTAATGATCTTTAAAATTTTTCGAGGTGCAGGGCAAAGTGGCTCATGCCTATAATCCTACTAGCACTCTGGGAGGCTGAGGCTGGTGGATTGCTTGATCTCAGGAGTTTAAGATGAGCCGGAGCAAGAGGGAGACCCTGAAAAAAACTAGCTGGGGGGTTAAGGCAAGAGGATTATTTGAGCCCAAGTGTTTGAGGTTGCTGTGAGCTATGACACCATGACACTCTATGAGGGCAATGAAGTGAGACTCTGTCTAAATAAATAATAAATAAATAAAATTTTTTATGGCACTCTTATCTGATCCGCTCATGGGACACTGGTGTGCTGCAGTGGACCAGTTGAAAATCACTGCTCTAAGGACTTCCCATGTGTGAAGCAATTATTTAGTGATGGAATAGCTACAACAGTTCCGTAAAACCCGTGTTCTTCATTACTGTCCCATTTTACAGATGCGGAAACCAAGTATTGTGGACACAATTACATCCCCACCCCTCCAAATTCATATGTTACGCTCCCAGCCTTCAGTGCCTCACAGTGTGACTTGATATGGAGATACAAACTTTAAAGAGGTGCTTAAGATAAAATGAGAACTCATTAGGATGTGTCCTAATCTGACTGATGGACTTTTAAGAAAAGGATATTAGGACAGGGATGCGCATAGCTCATGTGAAGACAGAGGAAGACAGCCTATAAGCAGGTCAAGGAACAAGATCTTAGAACGATACCTTGGACTTACAGCCTTCAGAATTACGAAGAAATAAATTTCTTTTGTTTAAGCCACACACACATCTGTGCTGCTTGGTGATTAGCAATCCTAGCAAACTAATACGCCAAGGCACAGAGTAATTGGTCTAACTCTGCGTTGCCAGAAAACATGAACTCAGAATTTGAGCCCAGGTAGTCTGGTTCTACAGTGTACATGTTTCACCATGACGGAAATGTCCTTTGTGCTGTCCAGTAGGGTAGCCACTAGCTACATATAGCTACAGAGCACTTGAAATGTGGCTAGTGCAACTGAGGAGCTGACTTTTGAGTTTAATTTACATTAAATTAAAATGAAAATAACCTCATGGACTAGTGGCCACCATAGTGGATATGGCTTTATCCTGTTTCTGACTACATCACTTAAGGCAGAATCTTCTAGAACGCGCCTCTGTGTGCTCTAAAAACATGCTCTTTGTTCCCTATCTGTGCTGTATTTTATTTTATTTTATTTTTCTTGCAATCCTTTCTAATTCAGCCCCTTTGCCTGGTCTCCTGCTGAGGGAGAGAGAGAGCAGGAGGGAGTGAGCTGGCTGGCTCAGCAGAGTCCCGTGGCCTGGGCAGTGCAGGGTGGCTGGCATGCCCCTCTAAGCTTAGGTGTTAGCCAACCAAATGCCAAGCAGCCCTAACACCCAGTGACATTTTCAGAACTATTAATATTTCATCAGAAATGATCACTTTTCCTTTAAATACACTTATTTTAAAAGGTTTTCTACATTCTTAACTATAATTTTATTCAGTCTAGGTCCTCGGAATTTTCCCCAAAGGAACACATCTTCAATTTTGTAATGAAAATCAAAGAGGAATGAAGCTCGGATTTCAAAATTTAGAGTCAACATTTCCAGGAACTCGGCTCCTCTGGAAAGAACAACGTTGTGTATGGGGCACCTACTGTATGCCTGGCACTTTACATACAGTATACCATGAATTCACCCAACACATATTTACAGAGTGCCTACTATGTGCCACAAAGAGGATCCTCATTATAACTTATAGAAAAGGATTTCTTCTGGTCCTGCTCAAAGAGGCCTGCGTGGAAGGTCATCAAACACTGCCTCCTCTCCCATCCCGGTTTCCTCGCTAAGTTAGTTATTTCCCACCAGGGCCCTATTTCATCTGTAATTACTGCTGCTTTCATTTTTCTTGCCGGGCTAGTTTGCGATGGCTCTCCCTGCACTAGAACACAGCCTCCCTGAGAGCAGAGACCCCAGGAGTGTTGGCCACCTTGTGCTTCTTCAGTGCCTACGGCTCATCTGGCATCCAGGAGGGACTCTGTGAGCGCTGGGGGAAATTGGAATGAGGATGGGAGAACTTACAAAATCCCCCAGAGGCACACAGCTGGGAAGTGAGTGTCAGGATTCAACCCAGCTGTACACCTGCAGGCTGACATCTTGGTCTATGTGTGTCCATTCTTCTTTCTTCTTTCGCTGTTCCTTGCTCTTCCTTTTCAGGGGAAGCCCTGGAGCAACAAGCACTGACGTTTCGGGGGCCACGGAGCCCCGCGTGGGCACAGGTGCTGTGTCAATGTGGGTTGCTGGTTCATTGAGGGGTGACAACAGCTGATCGCCAACAGCTCCCTCCGCCCTGCTGGCTGCCCCTCCGCCTGAGTTCTCCCCACCTCCCGCCCCACCCTGGGGTTCTTACTGAGGCTATGTCAGCAGATTAGGGCGCGAGGTCAAGGCTAGCGTGCTGGTGTCTGAGTCCCAGCTCCCCACTTCATAGTAGGCTTTGGACACAACCCTTCATGACTTTGAGACTCACTTTCCTCACGTGTAGAACGACAGCAAAAAACGGTACTGATTTCAGGAGCTTGAATAGGATTGAATATGAGCCCAGCGCTTGGCACACGCTGAGCACCACATAAAATGGCAGTTAGGGTTAAAATCAGGCAGATAAAGGCGCAGGGCCCCCGGGCGGACCCCAGGTGTGTGTGAGAGCGTGGGGTGGGGCAGCCAGCGCTTTGGCTTTGACTCCTAATCCCTAAGGGCGCCCCGGGCACTGGCGGCCCCTCCCCGCCCCCACCCCCCCCCCAGCCCGCCCGGCGGCCTTGGCCGCGGAACCCCGCGCCCCGCGCACCAAGCCGTTGCTGCGTTTGAAACCCACCTAAAGAATCCCAGCGCTCGACGGCGAGGGTCTGGGAGCCACTGGCAAGTAAATTGGCCAGAGCCGCCCTGCCGGTCTGCCCAGCCGAGACCGCGCCCTCTGGAGGCGTCCGGGTGCTTTCCTGGAGCCGCTCCCCGCAGCCCGGCGCGGGCCGCCGCAGGTGTCTGCTGGTGGTCCCCGGTCAGCGGGCTCGTTGACACACTAGCCACTCTTGCTTTCCAGGGGCGGCAGAGCAGCTGCGGACAGGGCACAGAGGGACTGGCAGGATAGCCAGGGGGGGCAAAGCGGGCACTCTGCGACGGGACACGGGGCCGTTGGCCCTGACCTGCGTGGGGCTCCTGGAAGGTCCGAGCCTTAGTCTGGGGAGCTCCTGCCCCCGCGGCGCCTAGCACGGTGCCGGACCCTCGCCCAGTCATCGCGGGGCTCAGCGGGCAAGGATGGGCTGAGCCCAGGCGCCGCAAGGTGTCACAGGGGTGTCTCAAGGGGGGAGTCCCAGGTACCGTGGGGAGAGCCAGCCTCTCCCTCCAGCTGTTCCCAGATGTCATTCTGCCCGCCCAGGCTCCTGGTTCCTGAGCTCCGGGGGATTCCACGGTTACTAAGCTACTGGTTTTTGTTGACTTTTAAATATTTTCTTCTAAGGGAGAGGGGGAGGGGGGAAAAAGTCAGGAAAGAGCAAAAAAACCCAAATCAAAATAAGCCCCCCCTCCCCAAAAGAAAGCTGTCATCCACCCACCACTCCCGCACGAATCGAGGGCCTCTGAACACAGTCGCCTTGCCAGAGCAGCAGGCAGGCAGGACTGACCCGCTTCCACCAGGATCCATCCTCATCTCCCTTTCTGTTGAATGAGGGGTGGTGGCGGATGGTCCCCCTGTCTTCGAGCCCTGGGTGGACAAAAGGGCTTCCGGAAAGAGAGGAGGAGGATGGCCAGTGGGAATGGGCTCTCTTCATCCTCGGCCCTGGTGGCCAAGCGCCCCTCCGCCCTGGGCCCATTCCCCAGATACATCTGGATCCACCAGGATACACCCCAAGACAGCCTAGACAAGACTTGCCATGAAATCTGGAAGAGAGTTCAAGGCCTACCCGAGGCCTTGCAGCCCAGGACCTCCATGGAGCAGCTCTCTGTCCCCATGGGTGGGACTCCAAGAGACTACGGACTCAGCTTCCAAGAAGAGTGAGTATTTCTGTACTTTGTCAGCATCAAGTGAAGAGGGGGGAGATGAAGTCTGACCTTTTGGGAGAATGTCTTGACCCTATATTCAGCCTGGTTAAACCCTGAAGACTGTATGTTTCCTCCTTGCGGCCTCCCCCAGTGGTCCTTTGTTCAATCGTTAGAGAAGAGCTGGCCAAGGTTCTGAAGTTACTGGCGTGAAGGGTCGGCCCAGGGCTATATTCTAGGCTGCCTCTTCACCAGCCCACTAAAAAGGCCATTTCTCATCCTAAAGGCATGTGCATCTAAGGTCTTTGAAAAACAACCCTAGCCAAAGCCTAGGGGTAAATGGCTTGGGGCTTTTCCCCCAGAGGCGACTAGAAGATCCTTCCCCTCTCCCACCTAAAGGCTGGGCATTCACACAGATGAGTCTGATGGTTTAAAACCACATCTGGAATTCCTAATACAGGGAGCAGCTGTCCCATTCAGCCTCCACAGAAGCTGCTGCAAGAGCACACATCAAAATATTTACTGGGAAGGCATTGACATATTCAGAGGACATAATAGAAAATTAAAGTGCTGGAGATGGCTGTAAATAGCCCGTTTCCTGGATGGGAAATCCTGTGTCTGGGAAACACAGAATTAAGTGTTTTTCCACCAGGTCAAAGGTGGGCAAATATTGGTGGGGATGGAAATTGGTAAGGAGAGGAAGGAGTAGAGAGGAAGAAGGGTCCTCATTAAGAAAAGGAAGTAAATTTGCTATGGTTATTAATGCCATTGTTGAACACTTATTCTACGCTTTGCATCTTCAAAGTGGGCTGCAAACTTAATTAATCCTCCCATCGTCCCTATGGGGCAGGTATTAGTGTTCCCATTTTACAGATGGAGTAAGTGTTGAAAATTAAGTGCTAATTAATGACTAAGTGATAATTAAGTGTTGCCGTTCCAACACTTGCTCCTGCTCGGTTAAGAGATGCTCTGGAGCAGGGGAGTCATTCCAGCTTTTATCAGCTGCTTCTGTTTTCAGGGATGTCTAAGTAAGGGCTAAGAAGAAAAGCAACATGTAACTGATGCCCAGATCTACTTGCTGTCCCTCTGTGGGCCCATTTATGTGCTGCCGATGAGGGTGGAAGGCACTTTGGCTGTTCCTGCCTCCTCTGCCCTGTGCTCGGCATGACGTGGCTCAGACGGGAATGGCTTGTCTATAGCCAAAATCCTGCCGTCAGGCCTTTGGTGGCAGTGAGCCCTTCTCCCCTGCCCATTGCCATCTGCTCTGGGACAGGGCCTTGGCAGGAGAGCCCATGGGGCTGTGCTAAGCTCTCAGTGGCCAAGAAGCTGATGTCCACTTTGCAGACCCAGGGTCAGTGGCAATTTCCAGTAGATGGCACCCTCTCTGCCAGGTCACACCGAGTTAATGGAGGCAGACTCTACTTCCAGTTTGCACTTGGCCAAAAATTGAACTGGCACACCTTTGGCCAGTTGCTTAACTCCATTTGGCCTTGATTTGCTCATCTGCAAATTGAGGATGATATGCCCTGCCTTGTCCACCTCCGAGTTGATAATGAGGATCAGATGTGATGGGAGACAGGGAAATGAAAGATACATTATACAAATGAGGCTGCTCCTAGCATGTGATGCTTAGGGTTGGCGGTTTTATTGTTGTTGTTGGCTTTGATCTAGGGTTTTCACACGACACTCCCTAACCCCCAGAGTGTTTCGGGGACCGTCCTGGACTCAAGTGAGCTGACTGGGGCCCCAGTCCCCACTTCAGCCGGAGCTATTCAGCTTTTATCAATTTTACTTACTGAAGCTCTAAGTAAGATTGTGTGCAAAAAAAAGGACCCTGCTACTGAAAAAAGAGCTAGGTAGGAAGCTACTGACTTAGATGAATAAATGATATCATAATTGTACAGAAGTCAACCAAGCAGAACACAACAAGCTATTCTGAAATAAAGAAAGCTGCTCTGGTGAAGTCAGATAACTCTGGCTTCAGGTTATATTCCAGCCCTGTGGCAATTAAAGAATTTGTTGCTATTTAATTTGTGTGACCTTTGATCTCCTCATCTGCCCACATGGAGATGAATACTATGCATATCATACGGTTGATGGGATGCTAAGTTAGATATCTAAACTTTTTTCTTTTAAAGACAAAGTCCCACTATGTTGCCCTTAGTAGAGTGTCATGGCACAGCTCACAGCAACCTCAAACTCTTGGGCTTAAGTGATTCTCTTGCCTCAGCCTCATAAGCAGCTGGGACTACAGGTGCCTGCCACAATGTCCAGCTATTTTTTTGTTGCAGTTGTCATTTTTGTTTAGCAGGTTCAGACTGGGTTTGAACCAGCCTGCCTAGGTGTATATGGCCAGCCCCATAATCCTTGAGCTACAGGAATCCAGCCGATATTTAAACATTTATGGTAATTATCAGGATTTGTAAAAATTTCTTGTAATGGTGGTAATGATGATCATATCTTTAAGCACTACAGTTATTTCATGAGGTAGGTACTATTTAAAACTCCCCATCTTTTATAAAAAAACCTTTTTATTATGCAAATTTTCAAGCACATAGAATTAGCATAGTGAATGTTTATGTGCCTATCACCAAGTTTCAATAATTCTAGTTTCAGTTGCTCCCTACCCTTCATTTTTAAACAAAATCCTTTGTGCCAATGAGGCAACTGAGATTGGGAGTGGTTGATTTTTTTTTTTCCCAAGGTCTTACCATTTAGGAAGTGGTAGAGTTTTAGAAATGAAAGCCAGGATCATCTTAGCCATTATTTAATGTGTTGGTTGCATTCTCTTAGGACCTGAGGCATCTCTGAGTGATCAAAATATTTGAGAGTCCCATGTTCTAATGATCGCACAGACTTCAAATCCAGCTGTCCATGGTGTCTATAGGATACTTCCAGGCCCACAAGACCCCTCTCTGCTAGTCTATCCATTGCTTAATTTGCTGATGTTTCCTTCTATTGGGGAAGGTAGGTAGGTAAGTTATAAAACTATTGTTAGCCAGAAATTTTTTCTGAACTCTGTCCTTATCTATCATAGAAACCCAGACGTCTCCAGTTTGAAAGAGATTTTAGAGGCTGTCTTCTGCTGTTTGAATCCCCTCCTCAGTGTCCTTGCCAAGTGCTATACTTGTACCACTTGTCTACTTCCTTAGAAGGAGAACTTATCACTTCCTAAGGCAGTGTCTTCCCTTGCTATGAATTTTCTCAAAAGGCCATTTTCTTCCTGCATCTAAAATGTGTTTTCTATCAAACTACTAATACCCATTGATCTGGATTCCCCCCTTAGGGCTCCAAACTAAATCTATCTCCCCTTTCTTTGAATAGCCCTTTAGATATTAAAAAGATAGCAACAATATACTTTCTAGGATTTTTAATTTTGTCTCTATAAGCTAAATACGTCTGGTTGTCTAAGTTTCTCCTCACGTGCCAACTTGGTCAGTTTCCTAACCACATTTCTGGTCCTTGTGGCAGCATGACTCTCAGAACCAAGTCCAGTAATCCAGGTATGATCCTGTCTAAGGAGACAGGATCCTCCTTGTCTACATTTTGCATTCCTGTGAATGCAGCACATTCACTTTTCTCCCAAAGCTGACTTCCCTGTATGGACATATGTCAAGTTCATTTATTCATTCAACAAACATTTATTAAGCATCTACTATGTGCCTGGCGCTGTGCTGAAAATTAGAGGGGCTAGAGCTTTGAACCAGATAAGGCCCTGCCTTTCCAGAACCTACACTCTAGTAGGGGAGAGAGACAGAGATGGCTTGTATGTATGTGAGAGAGATGTTGGTAGACCTCTGAGAAGGTGCTACAAGAGTTCAGGTGAGGCCTGATGATGCTGGTGGCTGGACCAGGTTGACTGCAGTAGAGATGAGAAAAGTGGGGGACTCTGTGTGTATATTTTAAGAGGAGCCAATAGACCTGCTGATGATTTGGGTCTATAGAGATAGTAAAGCTGAATTGAGGTGTTTGGCTTGAGCCCCTGGTTGGACAGTAGTGCCATTTACAGAGGTGGGGAAGCAATGGGGGAGAAATGGCCTTTGGGGGAGAAATCAATAGTTCTATCTAGTGCTGATTAAACTGAACAGAATCTTGTTCAGTTTTCTTTTAATTAGGGTTAAATTTGGACTTGGGGAACTGTGGCAAGACACTTGCTCAAGGATTGCCTATTCATTCGTCTCTGAAACTTCACAGCCTCAGAATTAGGGCTTCAGATTTGCTGACGACTCCATTGCCCTAATTAAGGAATGGCATTTGTTAATTTCCTTATTTATAGATGCATTCAACAAACACAGCATCAGGGCCTGTGCAGAGTCTCAGAGATACAGATATAAGTAAAACAGAAGCCCTTCCCTCAAAGAACTCCCATTCGAGTAGGTGGGATGGACACAGATACGTATGACAACAACATTCAACGCATATTTAATGTGTACCTATTACTGCATGCCAGACAATATCTGAGATAAATACAATGGTGGAAAAGCTGGGGGAAGTCTCTGATCTCCTTCTTGGAGCTTTGGTGTCTTGTAAAAGGCAGAGCACAGCACATTACGATGAGTGTTCTTCTGATGATAGAAGCACGCTGACTCAGGCTCTGTGCCTAAGCCAGAAGGCTTCCTGGACAAGGCTGAAGGCAGTGAGCTGAAGGGGCAACAGATGAGACCCCCCTGCACTGTGACTGTAAGGAAGCGTGTGATCACAGCTGTCAGGAAGCAGAGGATGTCACAACCCGTAGTAACTGCAAGGTTTCCATAGTTGAGTGTCCCAAGCTATGTCTTGAGAAGAGAGAAAGACCAGCCTATGAAAAGAGGCCAGCAGGGGCAGGGAAAGACAAGCAGTTCCCTGGGGATGAAGTTCAGCACGTGTGAAGGGTGGGTAAGAATGGAGAGGTGGCCTAGAGCTTGTGGGATGGGCGGCTTCCCTTACTGCTTCGCTGGTCAGTACCCAAGACCTCTCCATCTACCTGTCAGAAAGAACTTGGTCTGCAGAATCAAAAGGCATCACTCCAGGCCTTA